TAATTGCTAAAAATAAAAAAAAAAATTGTTTTTATGAACTCATTCACTATTGAATATGAATATGAATTTGATTGATTACATTTTGAACTTAGCCTTTAAAGGTTATATATTAACATTTATAAACATGTTTATTTAGAATTTGATGTCTAGTCACATAACAAAATATTATTTATTGTCATTATAATTAAAATAACCATGTTTCTTTAACTTTGAATATGAACATGCAATACATGTTTATATTCAAAATAAATTATTTGAATTATTTAAATTGATGGATGATTTATAAATATCCTTATCTTTTAAATCTTTGAAAGTAATAGAATTTTAGTATAATAAATTAATTGATTATAAGTTATATCTATCACAAAGTTTTGATATGTTTAATCCAATTAGAAAGATAGATTGTTATTTATTAAGTGTATGATATTTATTCACTATTTATTTATTATTCAGATGCTTCAGAGAAAGTGGCTTGAAGAAAGTTTAAAATTTTCTAGTGGTTGCTTCATAAATTTATATTTGATTATTAGATTTTAATATTTTAATAAATAGATTAATTTGTGATTTTAAACTTGTAGAATATTTGGTTTTATTTAACTTTGAAGTTATGTGAAATAATTTATATTAGGTGTAGTTAAGTTTTAATTCAAGGTATTTTTTTTAATAGGATATTACTTTAGTATAATTTATTAATTGGAGTTAAGATGTTTTACAATTCCATAAGACGTGCGGCCTTTGTCACGTAAAAGAAATATTTTCATGGTTTGTTAGCTGAGGGAGTGGCAAGCATTAAAGATTAAAAACACCGTAAATATAGAGAGGTTTTTAAAATATTTAATTTTATTTATTTATATCTCTACTTGTTAAAAGGTTATTACAATTATTTATATAGAAAAAAAAACTATAGAGCTTTAATAGTACTCAATAAAAAAAATAAACTATGGAGAAATATTCCCTTCAAATTAAAAAAAAAGGTAAAAAATCATTATAATAAAGAATAAAAAATAAAAAATTTAAAGAATAAAATTAATTAAAAAAATATCTATTTTTCTAAAAAAGCTCATGTACCAATCTTTTATATAAAAATGAACACATCCTTGAATTTAGTTTCAATGAACGCATCCTTGAATTTACTTTCCAATTAGAAATCATTATCCATTAAGAATACTATTTCATGCATGAATTCTTAACACCTTGCATCGTATAAAAAAATAAAATTAATTAAGAAAATATTTTTTTTAAAAAAAAACTATCATATCAGTGAGTCGGCGAATGAGCCACGTGAAAGAGAGAGGGTGAGGTTCGTCCATTGTCGACAACACAACCTTAATGGAAAAAACAGGTTCTGGGATGTTTCACTACAGATAGGGTGATGTTTGATGCGGTGTAGTCTTAATAATGGATTTGACTTTTGCAGATGAATAAAAATGAATTAAGGCAGTGGATGTGTTGGTTTCGATGATTTTAACGGAGGTTTCTTCACTGAGGAGGTAGCTTTCAATTTACCAACCACACTAGCCCTTGCTGGAATCATGGCTTTGATTGCCACCATAAAAGTGTTCGGCCCTTGATCATCTCCATCATGGCTTTTCTTGAAGATACAAGATAAAGTTTTAGTTTTTTTTTTTTTTTAAATTTCTGACAATGTAATAATATTAGCTTGATGGCAGACTGGTAATTACGTGTTTAATGATAAAGTTATAATATTAATATTGTAATGGTAATTTAGTTAATTAAATAAAATATAATAACAATCTGGTAAATAATCTGGTTTTTTTATTGATTTTTTTGTTTTACATGCTAGCATGAGAATATAAAATGTTATGAATCAATAAGATGTGATGAGTGATATCTCAAAGAATAAAAATACAATCAAACTATACAAAACCGAATATAATATTCTCCACTTAAAAACAATTTAATCAATAGTCAAACTTCTCCATCAATTGATGTGCACGACGTATGTTCTAAAGGTCAAAAGTTGAAATTAGAGTGAAATATCAACTCTGTCTCAAATCTAAAATAGCAAGGATCGGTTCTGAAATTATAGGATCTAATGTGAAATGAAGTTAAACCATACAAACCTCAAATAGTACTATTGACGTGATTGTTATTGCATTAAAAACGCTGTTTTTAAAACATTAAAAAATATTTTAAAATAATTATTTTTATATTTTTAAATTATTTTAATGTACTAAGTTAAAAATACTTTTTTTTTGAAAGAAACATAATTAAAAAAATTATATAAACAACAAAATTTAAAATTCCTTACCTGTAATTTTAGAGTTTTATGTGTTATCGTGATTTTAAAATTGTAAATATCACCTATAACTTTTATATATATATATATATATAGTTGAGGCAATTTCTTCGGCTCTTAACTCTATGCAAAAAAAAATAATAATCAACACAGCAAATTATATTCAACAAGCTTAGTTTATAAAATCAATTCAACTGCATGCAGATAAAAACTCAATCTAATTTGTAGGATAAGAATTTAGTTAGGTTTAATATCTTTTTGATTGAATCAAATTCTCAACATATCTAACATAAATACTCTACAAGAATCCACAAATTCAAGAATTAACTATAAATCAAATCTTGTGCAACAAGGTAATTAACCCCCTGCTCTTTTTAAAAAATTCAAACCCTTTATTTTATAACCTTTAAGAAGTCCAAAATTATTCATTAGAGTCTAATTAAAAAAAATGGTGTCCAAAAATATCCTTTATCTTACTTCCTAGTTCGTTTTTTATCTTTTTTATTTTTTTTCATTTTTTATTATTAAGTTTTTAATTCCTTTGTAATTTTTAACTCATTTTTTTTTATTTTCTTTCTAACCTCATTCTTTATTGTGAGATTTTTATTTAATTTTATTCTTGGATATTTAATTATTATTTTTTGGACTTATCGAGATCATAAGAGTTTACACAATTTAATTTAAAATCTGAATTAATAAAATACCTGGACCAGATTATTTTAAATTTAAGTCACTACACCAAATTTTATTACAATGTCAAAAAAAAATAAAAAATCTAGATACTATCTTCAAATGTCCAAAACGTTTCTAATCCAAGCCGCAGCAAAAAATACAGTAAATAAACTAGTTTGAAACTATACCCCCACGAATGATTGTAGCTACTCTCGAAAAGATTTTAACTTTTGACCTTAACACAGTAGTGGTGGGGGCATTTTATAAATTAAAAAAAAAATCGTATGATGTGAACAAAATCTTTATTGTGCAGGAATATATATAAAAAAATTACTTATCTTTTGACTTTTGCTGTCAAAAAGGTGCCGCAACATTCAAATTATAGGGTAATTGTTTTTCGCATTTTTCAAATGTTTTTGAAAAAAAATATTTATTTATTATTTTAAATTAATTTTTATATTATTTTAATATGTTAATATTAAAAATAATTTTTT